AGTGGGGGGGTCAGCAGCCACCCCGAGAAGGACCACGTGCCCCGAGGAGCGATGGGGACCAGTGCACCGTGGAGCAGCCCCGGCATTCAGCCGGGCACCCCGCAGAGCCCCAAAGGTCCCCGAAGCCCTGCACGTTCCCCTGGGGCCTCACCTCGCCGTCGGAGCTGGCGCTGAGGGTGCGCAGGATGGTGCCGAGGGCTCTGTTGGGCACGGCCAGCAGCGAGGTGCCCGTGTCCACAATGGCCTGGCAGCCCAAGGAGCAGGCGACGGATTTCCCGTTGATGGAGACGCTGGGGAAGAGGGGCAGCGAGGTGAGCCTCCCGGGCGCGGGATGAGGGGCTACCCCCCCCAAAACACTGGCTGGAGGGCAAGGGGAGCCACCGAGCCTGGGGGCTGTGCCGGGACTACCTGTCCATGGTGATCTGCCAGTAGGTTTCGGCAGAGAGGGGGATCCAGGTGATGCCGTTGGTGGCGTAGAAGGGGTCGATGGCACCGAAGAGGACAAAGCTGCCGCTCTGCTCGTTCCTGCAAGGGGGGAGCAGTCAGGTGGAGGTCCCACCCCGCCACCACCACTCTGCTGGCAGTGCCATCGCTGGGGGGGGGCTTTGCTGCCATCCTCCTCTGCTGGCGCCGATGCTGGCACCGGTGAGCCATGTCCCCTGGGAGCCACGGGGGCATCACGCCACCGGGGAATGGTGCCGGAGCCAGCCCCAGTGGGAGGGAAACGGGAGAAAATCCTCGGCAAGGGCTGGGCGGCTCCGGCCAGGGCTTACTTGCTCAGGTAGACGGAGAAGAGGTCCCTGGCCACGAGGCCTTCCGCCATCATGTTGTCGAAGACGGGGGTGGCTCCGGAGGAGGCGATGCTCGGGAAAGCCAGCCCCAGGATGCCGTCGAAGGGAGCGTAGTAGAAGAAATCGCCGGGCTCGGTCTCAGACAGCCCGAAGATCTGGTTGGTGACCTCGATGCTTGTGACCTGGTCGGGGAGATGGGGAGAGGGAGAGGGGCTTGGTTTGGGCGGGCGGTGCCCCAGTGGCCCCGCTCCCGTGGGATGGGGCGTCTGGTGCGCCCCGCCTTACGGTGACGGTGTCGTAGCCCAGGATGCCAGTCATGCTGCCAGTGCCGTAGGCGATGTAGACGCTGTCGTTGGTGCTGATGAAGGTGGAGGAGTCCGCTGGGTTGAAGCGTTTGTGGTTTTCTGCGGGTACAGGAGGAAGACGGTCACGGTCCGTCCTGTCCTCAGGGACCAAGGATGACCCTCCAGTGCCTCCCCCATCGCCCGACGTCCCTTGGGAGAGACAGGGCCGCGCCGTCCTCGGCTCCGAGCCCCGTCAGGGGCTCCCAGAGCCAGGCAGGGCAGGGGGCTGGCCAAGCCCGAGGCTTCCGCTGCCTTCACCCCTTGCCCGGCCGGCCACGGGGCTGCCAGATACCTACTGCAGGACTGGCTGGAGCAGTACACCGAGGGCACCCACAGGTTGGAGGAGCCGGTGTCAAAGATAACGGTGAACTCCTGGGCTGGGGTACCGATGGAGATGGTGCCAAAGTACTCGGTCTGTCAAAGCGGGATGGGTAAGGGATTAGTGGGATAGATAAAAGGGGCTAGCAGGATGGATAAGGGGCTAGCGGGATGGGTAAGGGATTAGTGGGATAGATAAAAGGGGCTAGCAGGATGGATAAGGGGCTAGCGGGATGGGTAAGGGATTAGTGGGATAGATAAGGGGATGGGTAAGGGGCTAGCGGGATGGGTAACGGGTTAGAGGAATGGGTAAGGGACTAGTGGATCATGTAAGGGGCTAGCGGGATGGGTAAGGGGCTAGCGGGATGGGTAAGGGATTAGTGGGATAGATAAAAGGGGCTAGCAGGATGGATAAGGGGCTAGCGGGATGGGTAAGGGATTAGTGGGATAGATAAGGGGATGGGTAAGGGGCTAGCGGGATGGGTAAGGGATTAGTGGGATAGATAAGGGGATGGGTAAGGGGCTAGCGGGATGGGTAAGGGATTAGTGGGATAGATAAAAGGGGCTAGCAGGATGGATAAGGGGCTAGCGGGATGGGTAAGGGATTAGTGGGATAGATAAGGGGATGGGTAAGGGGCTAGGGCATCAGGTAAGGGGCTAGCGGGATGGGTAAGGGGCTAGGGGGGTCAGGTAAAAGGCCAGGGGCCCCGCGGGCTGCCCCGCCGGTGCTGGCCCCTCTGCCCCGCCATGCTTACGTTCAGGTAGTTCTGCAGGGGCTCGGCGGAGGTGCTGGTTGGGAAGTACTTGGCAGCCAGGTTGTAGGGGTGCTGCTTCAGGTAGCGATCCAGCAAGCCGTGCTCCCGCAGGGACTGCCGCAGGGACTTCGCCCTCCTCAGAGGGATCCTGGGGTGCAAGAGAGAGGGGAGCCGGTCCGTCACCGGGAGCTGGGCAGGGAAGTGCCTCGGGGGGGTGGCGGGTATCCCCGCCGTGCACTTGCCCTGTGCCTCCATCCCACAGCCCCTCGTGTGGGACCCGGGGGCCGTCCTCGCTGTGGGGAGCCTCAGCCATGGCAATGGCTGGGGGGGGGGGCTTGCAGGTTGTCCCCCCCCATCCCTGCTGCGTGCCGGGAGCCGGGCAGTCGCCCCGCTTGCCTCCCCCAGCCTGGGTGCTGGGGGTCCTGGGGACCGCGGTGGCTGTGGGGGTACCCCGTCACACCGGTGCTCACCTGGAGACAAGGCACTGGGCCAGGGTCACCAAGCCGAGGAGCAGGAGCAGCTTCATGGTGACTGCTGACAGCCAGCAACCGAGGTGAAGAGACACACCGAGTATGCCGCCGGCCCCAGCCCGGCTCCTTATATCCCAACCACGCTTGTTTGTCCAGCGTCCCCGATAAGAAAGGTAAACAGCTCCGGGGGGAGTTATCACAATGTCCTTAACGGATACGGGGGGAATGTCAAGCTGAGGGCTCTCCACCTTCGCTGGGGTCGAATGCCACGGCTGGGGCGTAGGGATGCTTGCAGCAGGCTGGGACCGGGAGAAAAGCACCCTCCAGTTACTCTGCGTCCTGAGAGGGAAGGCACTGGGGGACAGGGGGGGCTGGTAAGGGGAACGCGGGGCTGGCTGCGGCCATTTCTGGGCATTCCCCCCCCCCCCCTCCTCTCGCACTACCCAGTCGTCACACAAGCCGAAAACACCGTTGGGGCCGAGGAACCGCAGCGTAAATCACCCGCCGTTAGATAAAAGCACTTATTTTCCAGTTGGCTCTACCTGGCCGGGGTAGCCACCGCCGCCGCAGGGGATGACATTTTCCCCAGCCCCGGGGAAGCTGCGGTACGAAGGGTCCTGGGGCTGCTCCGGACTGTCCTTGCCCTGAAGGAGTTTCTGTCTGGAGGGGTTCGTCAGGGTGGAGCCGGCATGGAGATGTGGGGCTGGTACGGGAGCACCGGTCCTTCGGGGTCCCCTAGTCCCCCCCAGCCCCTCGATGGAGGGTTTGATCCTGGGGGTTTGTCCTGGTTTTGGCAGGGATAGAGTTAATTTCCTTCCTAGTAGCTGGTCCAGTGCTGTGTTTTGGATTTAGGAGGAGAACAAAGTTGATAACACACCCATGCTCGGGGTCTGGCTGGGCATCGGTCGGCGGGTGGTGAGCAACTGCACTGTGCATCACTTGCTTTGTGTATTATTATTATTATATTTCAATTATTAAACTGTTTTTATCTCAACCCACGAGTTTTTCTCACTTTTACTCTTCCAATTCTCTCCCCCATCCCACTGTGGGATGGGGCAGTGAGCGAGCGGCCGGGTGGTGCTCAGTTGCCGACTGAGGTTAAACCACGACAGGCTTGCGGCCTCATGCCCCTCCTGCAGCTGCTGCCCAGGGTGCACGTCCCTTGGGGGGGACTGGGGACAGATGGTGGCCCCTCGCCGCTGCCCTGAGTGCCCCGGGCTGCCTTGGGGTGCCCACCCACGGGTGGCAGCCGTGCCCCGGCTTCGTCAAGCACCTGGGACGCGGCTGGCCGTCACCCTGCGGCAGACACAGGGGTTTGCACAAGGGGCTCCACCGAACGCCAGCGCCAGGGGCTTGGTAGCGACACCGGGGTAAATTCGCTTAATCTTACACCTACATCCAACGGGCAAACACGGTCGTTCCTCACCGGCTTTATCCATTGCAGATGCCGGCTCCTGTTAGCTCAACACAGCGCCTCTCTGTCCGCCTGCCCCGGGGCTCTGGGCGGGGAGGTGGAAGCCCACGTCCTCCGCCGCGGCTGAGCCGAGCTGCTGCCTGCAGCCCCCCTCCCCACCTGCCTCCCCTGCCCCCGGGGCTGGGGTCAGCCTGGGCAGAGCGTGGCGGAGGAGCTGCGCTGCTGGGGCCCGGCTTGAGAGTCCTAGATCACAGAACGGTTTGGGTTGGAAGGGACCTTAAACATCATCTGGTCCAACGCCCGGCCACGGGCAGGGACCGTGATCAGGTTGCTCCAAGCCCCATCCAACCTGATCTTGAACACCTGCAATGATGGGGCACCCACAACTTCTCTGGGCAACCTGTTCCAGTGTCTCACCACCCTCACAGTCAAGAATTTCTTCCGAATATCTAATCTAAATCTACCCTCTTTCAGTTTAAAACCGTTACCCCTCATCTTATCACTACGCTCCCTGACACAGACTCCCTCCCCATCTTTCCTGTAGCCCCCCCCTTTAAGAACTGGAAGGTCTCCCCGGAGCCTTCTCTTCTCCAGGCTGAACAACCCCAACTCTCTCAACCTTTCCTCACGGGGAGGTGCTCCAGCCCCCTGATCGTCTTCATGGCCCTCCTCCGGACCCGCTCAAGCAGGTCCATGTCTTTTTTATGCTGGGGCTTCATCCTCCTCCACCTGTCCCAGGGCTGCCTGCGGAACTGGGACCAGCCTGGGGGGGGGTGTGGGGGTGAAACTGGGACCAGCCGAGGGAAAGACCAGCTCGGGATGCCGCTGGTTGAACAACGCCAAGGTCGCCCACGCCGGGCTGTGTCAGAGGTGCCCGGCGCTGGACCAGGCGTCCCGGCCGCCGTCACAGCACCACGTGCGTGAGATGTGGTTGCCGGCACGGTCACCTTGTCCTGCGCTTGGGGGAAAACAAAGCCAGACCCTGCACCAACGAGCTGGGGACCAGCCCGCCCAGAGGCACCACACGGGCTGAAGCTGGCTCTCCTCCCTCGGCACCAGTTTCAACCCAGCTCTGAATAATAAAAGAATTGAGGATAGATGCTAAATTGCACTGGGGGAATGAAATGAGTAAGAACCTGGTAGGATCTGACGGGTGATGTTGGGAGAAAAGGGATGAGGCATCTAATTCTCCCTGAGCGAAAGGGAAGATGTGATGCGTTCGGTTCGGGGGTGGGGATCTGGAAAGGAGAAGGTCTTGGCTGACCCCCAAAATGGAAAGTCTGGACCTGGCAGGAGGCCACAGCCTGAAAACCCGGCGTGGAGCCTTGGCATCGTGTTCCCCGCCGGCCTCGTGAGCCAGTCTTGTGCCTGCAGGTAGCTGTAAACTACAAAGAAAATCAGAGATTAGACAACAGCATCTACTTCACGCTTCGCTCCCTCGCTCCCCCGGCCCCGCACAAGGCAGCAGGGCGTTTTGATGAATACGAGCTCAGATAAGGAGCAGCCCTAGCAAAGGGGCTAGCTCGCTGCAAACACGTCCTTGCCGCGCTACGCGTGGAAAACGCTTATTTGCAGAAGGTTATCGGAGCAGGGCGCGCGAGGACGCGTCCCTCGGCGGGGAAGCTGCCGTAGCCAGCTGCCCTGGGACTGTTCCGACGGGCTGCTAGATTGCATTTCGTTCCCCCAACACACCGGGTGTCTGCACGCAGGGAAGAGGCTGTTCCCGCCGGGCAAAGCCTCTTCCTTCACGGCACGCGGGGGGGGTTTCACTGCTCCACGGGGACAGCCGGCACGGGGGCTCGGGGTGATTTCCCCGGGCTGCTTGCAGCTATTAGGAACAGCTGCTGCAAATCCCCTTGGTATATAAGGGAGATTCAGAGCTGGAGCTTGCTGGTTTGCCTGGCTCTTGCTTGATTCCCCTGTGCTGGGAGCCCTTTGCAAGTCTCCTTGCACCTTTGTGCTGGTGGAAGGCAGAGCCTGTACCCCTGCAGAGCCCGGCCCCTCAATGACAGTGCTTTTTTGGGGAGGGGGGCAGTTTGGAGACCTGTCAAGGCTCACACCTTCCAGCCCATTCGCCTTCCAAGGGCTGAGACCTGGGGCTTCCTCCGGGGAGGCTGCTCAGGAGCCGCTGGGCTCGGCATGTGCTCCGCGCCGGGGCAGATAATGCCGTAGGAGGTCCACGGGAGCCGCCACGGCCTGACGGAGGACGGGGCGCGCGCTGCCCAAGCCACGGGCCCGTGTCGGTGCGGCTCCCGCCTCAGAGAGCCTGCGATGGGGAGGAAGGTCCTGCTGGAAGGTGGAAACGGTCCTCGGTCCAGGCCCACAGCGGGGAACGGGAGGTAACCGGTGGGTGCGGGCAAGGAGCGACGAGGTGGGGGAGGAGAGCGGTAAGTGCCCCCTCTCCTCGGGCAGGGATGGAGGTCCCGGTGATGCCAGGGTGGGCTTTCCTCTATTTGCGGGAAAGGCGTTAGCTGGGACACCCGTTCAGCAGAATGTATCTGCTCAGGGTGGGGCGACGTAGGGGTGAGCTGCCTCCAAGGTGCCCTTCTGCACCGACGCTCATCCTGCATCCATTCTGGCAACGAGCTGAGAAACTTCCCTGAGAAACGGAAAGCTGAAGGGCACTAACATTTCAAGTGCTAAATTCTTCCTTCGGAGCAAGTTAGTGAGTTGGGCTTCGGGGACTGAAGTCTGGACTCGCTGTCACACCTCACTTCAACCCGGTCTCCCTTGCTTTCGGGGCCGCCAAGTTTTGCGCTTTTTTGCCAGAACATTAGAGGAAACGAAAATGACAAGTTTCTCAAGAGCTGTTTATCAATTTAATTCTTTTTTATTTTGCCAGTCAGCACGTTCAGACATAACATAAACCTCTCTGGGCACGGAAGGCAGGGACTAACCTCTTTCCCGGGCAAAGAGGACGTTTGGGGTGAATGCTCTCCTTGTATTTAAAAAACAAACTGGAAAAGCCTCACGCTCAGGACCAGCCTTTTAGTGAAACGTAACTTGTTTTGTAATGTTAGGGAAACATAACTTGTTTTATTCTGTAACTCGGTCGCCCTGGCAGTGATGGGTTTGCCAACAACTAAAGCTCCCTTGCCCAGAGCAACAAACGGCCTAAAGAAGCCACAGCAGCGGAACGCCTGCTCCGTTTGGATAAAAAGCTGCATCCTGTGTTTCTGTGCTGATATACGGGCCTCTAGGTGAGCCGGCCTCTTCCGAACGCCCAAACTCTATCCCAAATTCAGGGATTCGTATCGCGTAATGAAGACTCAAAGCAATTTTCCAGTCTTTTCCTGCAGACCCCGTACTGCACGCAATTGTTGCTGAAACAGAGCTCCACGTGCCAAGCTGTGATCACTGAGGAGCAGGATTTCAGGTTTTCAATGGAAAGAAGGAATTTGTCAAATTATGGGAAGTTTTAGGATAAGCTCCTTCTTCTGTCAATAGATCTCATCGCCAGGAGCCAATGAAAAACTGTGTATTCAGACAGGTATTGATTTTTGGATGTATCGTTATACCCAGAATGAAGAAGTTGTGGAATTCAGCACCAGAAAAATCTCAGAACAAATATTTAGCACCGTTGGAAGTCAAGAACAAAAGAAAGGGGGGAGGATGGAAAATAACCACTTTTAGGGTGCAAAA